GTAACATCCGATCTAACCGCAACCGTAGACATAGAACGAGGCGAAATGGGCGGAATATTAATAATTTAATATCTGTGAGGCACAATAATCTTATAGAAACTACTAGTCGTTCTAAACCTCATGCACTTCCGAGCTTTGGCCTAATAAATGCCCGCTCGTTATTGCCTAAGATCGACGAACTTGCTGTACTTCTGGATGGTAACCCAATGGATCTAGTGGCTATAACAGAATCGTGGCTACACAAGGATGTTGATGATAGCTTGATATCAATCAGTGGCTATAATATCCACCGTAACGATCGTACAGGTAGCCGGGGCGGTGGTGTGTGCGTTTATTCTTTGAAAAACATTCCCTGTCAACGGAGACTAGATTTTGAAAATCCGAATTTTGAATGTCTTTGGTTATGGATCCGCCCGACACGACTGCCAAGACCTCTCTCGGCTATTGCAGTTTGCGTTGTGTATAACCCCCCTGGCAGAACTGCTGAAGAACTACGTGATCTTGATGAATATCTGATGAACACAACGGATTCCATTAGGAATTGTTATCCTAATTGTAGAATCGTATTCCTTGGTGATTTTAATAATTTTGATGTTTCGAACCTTACCCGTAGTCTTAGTTTGAAGCAAGTCGTTTCTGCTCCTACAAGGGGGTCATCTACCCTTGATCTCATCGTCACCGATTTACAAGATTTTTATGACAAGCCGCATATTCTTGCTCCGCTTGGGTCTGCTGACCATAATATAGTACGATGGGTTCCTAATAAAGTTGATGCTATTACCAAACCTAAACCGATTAAGCGTCTTATACGCCGCTATCCGCTATCCGCTATCCGCCTTGAATTCTTTCGGCCGATGGGCCAGCACGCATCAATGGTTCAGTAATCTGGGTCCAAGCCCTTCCGTAGATGACCTAGCTAATTCCTTCTCATCCCAAGTATCTACAGCATTTGACAGTCTTATTCCCCTGAAATCTGTTTGGTTTTGCCATTCCGATAAACCATGGATGTCTGTGTCTATCAAAAAACTCATTAATGACCGTCAAAGAGCTTTCCATGGTGGAGATGTTCTGCAGTGGAGAACTTTGAAATATAAGGTCCAGACCGAAATAGCCGTAAGAAAGAAAGAATATTACAAAACTAAAGTACAACATCTTAAGAAAGACGATTGTCGAAAGTGGTGGCAAGTCGTAAATAAGTTGTCTGGCCGATCTCAGAAGTGTACTAAACTTACCTTTGAAAAGGAAGGTGAATTATTATCAGATTTAGAACTGGCCAATAACTTGAACAAGTTTTACATCTCGGTTAACGCAGACATTCCACCACTAGATATAACTACGTTACCAGCATACTTACCTGCTGTTGATCAAGTGCCTTACATCGAACCGCACGAAGTCTGTGAGAAATTATTGGTCGTTAATGCCTCCAAAACATGTGGTCCTGATAATATTCCAGGTCGCCTTTTGAAGGAATTTGCGCACCTTTTCACTGAACCAGTTGCGAAAATCTTCAATATGTCACTTGCATCCGGGATTGCTCCAAATATATGGAAAGACGCATATTCGGCCAACTCGTTCGTAACAATTTTTTCCGTGAGCGCGTGCATAATTTTGGGGGACTAGGAGCGAAATTAATTTTCGAAAACTGCGCTTTTTTAGAGCGCATTGAGGATTTGTAGGTGATCTATGAACAAATGATGATTACAGGGATTAATAGTGGATAATAAAAGGATCACAACGATACCACTATTGCTATGGTTACGCATACCTTTTCGCGGGTTTTGTTGTCTTTCGTGAAGGCTTGCGCAACACAATGGCGCTCGGTGGAAATTTTGCAAAAATTCACATTTTTAGTGTGAAGTTTCTTCGAAACTTCACAGTATTGTAATGACTGGGGGGAAATTCACACGAATCAGTCAGTCAGTCAGTCAGTCATTCATTCAGTCAGTCATACAGTAAACTTTCCGGGGGGTGTACACTATATATGTTCGTAGTGATTTATCGTACTTAGTCAGTGCTTTGAAGGTTATTTAGGCAATTTCGGTTAACTTATTTACATATTCTGTTATCCTTTTGCCAAGTTCACAAAAATATCGAGGAATCGCTTTCGTTATTGTAATTTTTTGTAAATTTTAGAACATTCGCTTGTCATGTTCAGATTGACTTTATCCTACTCAGTCCGTTATTCCTAGCTCGCGCGGGTTTAAGCTCGCGGCACTTAATGTGAGAAGCCTAGTAAATCATATTGATGAGCTGCGAGTTTTGCTTGCTACTAGCCCGATCGATGTCCTAACAATAAATGAGACATGGCTTAATTCTACAATAAGCGATAACGATGTATATATACCTGGATACGAAATCATACGTCGTGACAGGGCATTTAGAAATGCAGATGGAAAAACGTATGGAGGTGTTTGTTTTTATGTACGCTCCAGCGTAAATTTCATACAGCGTAAAGACATGTCTATTGATAATTTAGAAAATCTATGTATTCAAATTCAAAAACCAAATTCTAAGCCATTTCTCGTTGCGACATGGTACAGGCGACCAAATTCGAATGTTGATAAATTTAATTATTTTGAGACATTTATTGACATGCTTGATGCTGAAAATGTCGAGTACTATTTATTGGGTGACCTAAATTGTGATCTCGGGTCGCCTGATTTAGAGAGTAATTCGAGATCATTAATAGGCATCACTGAGCTCTATGGTTTACATCAATTGATACGTGAACCGACTCGAATTACTGAAACTTCCTCAACTATGATTGATCATATATTCACCAATACACCAGATAAAATTGTTTGCTCCGGTGTTTCTCATGTCGGTATTAGTGATCACAGCTTAATTTATGCATTCCGTAAGCTTTCAACCGGTCTACACAATAAAGGCCATTCTACAGTAAATTATCGAAAATTTAAAAATTTTAACTCTGAAAATTTTCGAAGTGATATTTTTTCACAGAATTGGGACGTCATAAGGGCGTATAATAATCCGAATGATATGTGGCGTGTGTGGAAAACGACCTTTAATAACGTAGTGGAAATGCATGCTCCCTTACGGACAAGGCGGGTAAGACTTTCTAAGTCACCCTGGATCACGCCTGAGTTAAAAAGACATATGCATGAAAGAGATATTTTAAAAATCAAGGCTATTCGATCTAAAGATATTTATGACTGGGCTGCTTTTAAGAAAGCTCGCAACTCTGTGAACAATGAAATTAAATTTGCGAAGAAAGCCCATTATATGAATGCTTTTCATGAAAACGAGAGTAATGTGAAAAAAACTTGGGGTATTATTAATAAATTAACCTCAAGAAAACAAAATAACTCACATGTAAAAGAGATTAAACTAAATGGTTCTTCAGTTAGTGACCCCCCGGGGTTATCAGAGACGTTTAACACTCATTTTGCTAGCATTGGACCTAAGCTTATGGAGAAGATACCTTGTGATGAAAATAACTGCTCATATTTAGAATATCTCAATTGCCATATTAGTGGTAATACTTTTGAGTTGAAGTCGACAACTTCATCAATGGTTTGTTCACTTTTGGACAAACTCTGTAAATCTAAAGCAACTGGCCTAGATAAAATATCTGCTAAGCTTCTTCGCTACTGTCCTGACCTACTGTCGGAATCCCTTACCGTAATTTTCAATTGCTCTATTAATACCGGTATCTTTCCTGATGAATGGAAATGCTCAAAAGTCATTCCATTATTTAAACACGGTGAGCGTAGGGACTTGAATAATTATCGCCCAATTTCGATAATCCCTGTTGTAGCGAAGGTTTTCGAGCGAATTATTTATGATCAAATCTATGCCTTTCTTACTGACAACAATTTACTATGTAATAGCCAGTCAGGGTTTCGATGTCTACATTCAACTGTCACCGCGCTTCTTGAGTCCACCAATAACTGGGCATACAACATTGACCAAGGCCGAGTTAATGCTGTAGTTTTCCTAGATCTTAAGAAAGCGTTTGACACAGTTAACCATGGAATTTTACTATCAAAACTGAATGCGTATGGTCTTGGGGGTGCTGTGGGTAATTGGTTTAAGTCTTATCTAAGTGACCGCAGTCAAAAATGCTATGTTAATGGTCACCTTTCTAACAATCGTACGTTACTCTGTGGTATTCCACAGGGGACTATTTTAGGACCATTGTTATTTTTACTGTATATAAATGACTTACCAAATTGCCTTGAGCACTCCCAAGCACGAATGTACGCGGATGATACTAATTTAACATTTGCAAGTAACAATATTGACGACATAAATTATCACCTTAATCATGACCTTGCAAATGTGAACAAATGGCTTATCGCCAATAAGCTTACTCTAAATCAATCCAAAACTGAATTTATGCTAATTGGCTCACGACAAAGAATAGCCACATTTCGATCAGTTCCATGTTTAGAAATAGACGGGGTTCCTATTGACAAGGTTTTACAAGCAAAGTCTCTCGGAGTGTACCTTGATGAGAATCTATCTTGGAATATACAAATTAATGAATTAACAAAAAAGATTGCTTCTGGTATTGGCGCTTTAAAACGTGTTCGATCATTTGTCCCAGTCGCAACATTGCAATTAATTTTTAATTCCTTGGTTCAGCCATATTTCAATTACTGTTGCACAGTTTGGGACAATTGCAACAAAACCCTAGCTGAAAAACTTCAAAAACTACAAAATCGTGCAGCGAGAGTACTAACATTCTCCAGTTATGACACTAATGCTGATGGTTTAATTGAGAAACTTGGCTGGAAAAAACTATCATCCCAGCGCCAGTTTCAAAAAGCTGTCATGGTCTATAAATCATTAAATGGTCTTGCTCCTGATTACATGCATTCCATGTTTGTAAACCGTGACAGTGTTAATCCTTATTCGCTGAGAAACACTGAGAACAAACTAGCTGTTCCCAAGCCCCGCACAAACTATCTCAAGAATAGCTTTAGCTATAGTGGTGCGGTGCTGTGGAACAGTCTTCCGATTGGGCTACGGCAAGCAAATAACTTGATAACTTTTCGATCGGGCTGTGGCAAATTATTTTAACTTTCCTTGTATATATTGTTATATTAGCTTAGTACACGGCCCTCATGAAAAGCAGGTATTATATTTTCTATTTACTTTAGCGTGGTTCTACTTTTGTAATTTATCTAATTTAGTTTGTTGCATGTTAAATCCTGATGAGAATACCGTGTGTAAATAAAGTTTTAATAATAATAATAATGTTATGTAAAGGATCTTTACCCCGGAACACCCGATTTTTTCTTTAGTAGCGCAAATGCGCATGCGCTATCAAGCCGTAGATCACGATGGCGTGACGATATGCAAGGAAGGAGTGACAGTGTAGTTTTCAGATGTATAAACATTTCAGACGTGAATATTGAGTAAATCTTTGAAAATCTACGCAAAATATAAATTGATCTTATGCATTACGGGCGTTCAATTAAGTTCCGATAATATTTAGACGGTATATTCATTATATAGAGCTAGGAAGGAGTTGGACCGCCTAGACAGTGCAGTCAAGTGTATAAACATTTCAGACGTAAATATTGTTATATTGAGTCGAAAATCTTTGAGATTCTAGGCATTAAATTGAGTGCCGATATTATTTTCACGGCATACTCATTATACAGAGGTACAGTACGTAGGCAGAAGCGAGACAGTGTTGTTTTCAAGTATATAAACATTTCAGACATGAATATTGAGAAAATCTTTGAGATTCTACGCAATATATAAATTTATGTTATGCATTTAATACCGGCATCTATTATTTATGTAAGTGCCCATCGATATTATCGCTAAATTAAATAATATCCCATCGATGGGATATTATTTAGACCGTGTATTCAATATACATTGTCATTGACTGTATAAGGTGCTACATCACAGAATAGATGGCTACACTCAGTACAAAGAGCGAAAAATTGCATCAGATCTGTACCAGATCAATAAAGCATAAACAACTATTAAACGGGTAAACGTTTGCACGGCGTTTACGAGGAAAATAACTTGCGAGACTAAAGAAATCAGTTGAGTCAGAGCTCCTTATTTAAATAAGAAAGACAAGGAGATAGCCAATGTGTTATCGCCAACGTGTTATCGCCAATCGCTTTGCTCGCCAACAAGCTTTATGCAATAGAAGAAAAAAGCAAGGAGGTACATGTAGCCAACGTGTACTGTCACGGACCTTGTCTTTGTTTACTGTCTAGCACAACGCCGTTGTCAACGGTGCAAACTCGTGTTCAGTGCAAAGATAACTCTACCAGATCTTACGAGAATCAATCTGTAGTATTCTGTACACAGAATTGTATCAAAGCTTGTCAAACCTGCTTTAATTTAAACACTGCTTAACTGTGAAACTATTGAAATCTAAAGTGACATTACAGTAATGTATTCAACACATGCGGAAAGCTGAAAATAGACGTGACACTGGGAAAAGTCAAAGGTCAATGAGACTTGTTATTGTGAAACATGTCAACAAGGGCAAATAATGTTAGCCAATCAGCGCGTTTGTTTACATTTTGCGTTCTTGACCAATCAGAATGCCTGAAATTCGAAAATGTAAACAAAAGGAGTGAGAAAATAACACCTTGTTCTACGCCCTCGGTGACATTCGATATTAAACTTTTTTCGCCCAAACTGACAAATTCTGCTAAAGCATGCTTTCTTCTTTAATTTCCTCGGGGGGATTTTTAAAATTCGATCTAGATCGCGAAATATTTATGTTTGAATAACAGTGTTTCGACGCGAGTAAAATAGCAGACTCTCACTTGCACTATCTTTACACACACATAAAAAATTGGTAGATTTGGCAGTTTAAACTTATTTTCCTCACACCACAGCTGACATGTTTTTAAATATTACCTATCTGATCTCATCGATCTCATTTCGCATCGGAAATGCGTCACAACGATCCAGGACTGACAGGTACAATATCGCATGACTCATTACTGTACATTAAAAGTACCCGGTTGGCGAAATGGCGATTGTCTGACCACAGTTAATAGCTGACAGACCTTCGCGAAGGGCTTAATATTTTTGCTAATAAACTGTTCACGAGGGTTTCGTTCTGTTCGTCTTCTGGTTCGTCGTCAATCGTCATCGGCTGCCTCACTTCTTGGTCGCTTTCGTCCTCTTCAAAGCAAGTCGCCGGAGCAAACAGCGTTAGTATTTGCTGTCTTTCCAAGAGCTTCAACGTTGCTTTACAAACTGGGCTATCGCTGATGTTGGGCAGGATGCATTTGATGTGGAACGAAGGTCCACAACCACGGAAAACGTTCCAAGTGGATTAACCTTTTTGCAGGCAGGCAAATCGCAAATCGATGGAAATTTTAAAGGAAGATTTATATTTTATATTTACAGATCTTGATACATTTATAGTCAGTACGTCCTTGGAAATTGTTCCAAAATATGAGTGTGTACCAAAGTTAAAATATTACTCATAATCTCTAGAACATGTTTGAATGTTTTGAATAACTGCAGTTTAGAATTAGCAGTCCTTTAACTCTTTTAAAGACAACAGAACTGGCAGCCATGGCACCCCATAACTATTTAGTGTACAATACTAGTCAATGTAATTAATTACTACCTCCCCCAACCCAGAAGTAGGCAGTTTTTACTTCTCAGCACTGTCACTATCTGTAAATATCTGTGTGTAAATATCTGGTTTTGTCTCGGTGACCCTGCTTTGCCCCACACTTTGGGATTTGAGCAGGCAGGGATTTATATTGTCTGGTATTGGTACAGAGTTAATTACCATAATCACAGGATATTATTGAAAGATTTCCCTACCAATTCACTGCCTTAAAAGCATTATATTATTTGCTCTGTGTGTGTGTCTTACTTTAAGTGTACTCTGGTTCCAGAGGCTCTTTGCGAGGCGAAAGAAACAAGATGCGAGAACGAAGAGCCTCTGGTCACATCAGGGCCGTATCACCAGGGGGCAGTAAGGCTTATATGTTGAAAAAAGTTCCAAATATCCAAAGAATAATTAATAATGACATTCTAAAAATTGTAAAATTAATAGGGTTTTTTTAGGAGGGCAGTTTCCCCCTCCTGCCGCCCCCTCCCCTGTGCTGTGTACAGCCCAGGGTCACTGTCCATTGCGAATCCCACTTCCACACTTGATTAGGTTCAGCATTTGAATTTCGCATGTGATTGCCCATTTGTAAAAATATGCCAAACTGGCTTGGGAAATAAACATTGCTGTAAGCTAATTATAGCCTGTATTAAAATATTCTATTAAACTCAACCAAGAATGTATTATGTCTGAATGTCCTGCAAAACTGATTAATGTTGATATGTTTATCTCCTGAGAAATTTAATACCTTTTCACCTGCGGGAGTATTAATATTCATGCTTGGTTGAGTTTACTATAATAGCTTGGGGCTTTTTAATTGGGGCTTTTTAATTGGGGCTTCGGTGGCCAAGTGGTTAGCGCACTTTGTCACCTCTGAGGCCGCAGGTTCAAGTCAGTGAGAACTTTCTCAATGCGACTCAAACCCAGTCCTCATGTGAAAAGAATAAACGGCAACGCTCTGCCGAATGTCACAGGTTTTCCCCGGGTACTCCAGTTTCCTCCCACATGGAAAGTTGACAGGGTGGGTTGGGTAAAAAGGGCTCACAGTAATTGGCATATGCTGTTGTGGTGACCCGGCCCTATTTGGCATGCTAAATAGATAGATAGCTATAATTAGCTCACAGTACCGGTAGTGTTTATTTCCCAAACAGGTTTGACATATTTTTACAAATGGCCAATCACATGCGAGATTCAAATTCTGAACCTATTCAAGTGTGGAAGTGGGATTTGCAATTGATATGATCAGAGGCTTTCCATTCTCACCTCTTGTTTCTTTTACCTTGCAAAGAACCAGGGTACACTTAAAAGTAACACACAGGCAGACCAAGTGCTGCAATTCAACTAAGGGCCTGTTTATATGCAGGAAGCCGGGCTGGCCTGCTTAGCAAGACAGGCAGGTGGGATGAATTTCTCTTGTGTTTATATGAGAAAATTTCATCCCGCTTGCTGGTTTTGACAGTTGTTAAAAATAGCTTGCAGCGGTATCTTTTATCCCAGCAACTGGGCTAGCCCGCTTGTGAGTGTTTATATGGAGAAATTTCCACCCCGGTAAGCGAGATCTCACCTCTTTTCAAGTGAGATCTCACCTCTTTTCAAGTGAGATCTCGGCAACCTGGCCAGCCCACTTGTCCATATCAACGCACAATAATTTTTACTATAAAAATAACTACACAGCGAGATCTCGCTTACCGGGCTGTCTCACTTAGCGGGCCAGCCCGGCTTCCATATAAACAAGACCTAAGTACCAGTCAGTATAAGTCCCCGCTTGCTTGAATCTAGGAAGTGTGGGGTTCATGGGGCAAAGCAGGGCCACTGAGACAAAGCCAGACATTTATACAATCCAGCAATTTTGATTATGCAGTGCTGGGAAATAAAAACTGCCTACTTCTGGGTTGGGGGAAGTGGTAATTTACATTGTCTGGTATTGTACACTGAATAGTTATGGGGTGCCATGGCTGCCAGTTCTGTTGTCTTTAAAACGACTGCTAATTCTAAACTGCAGTGATTCAAAACATTGTCCAAACATGTTCTGGAGATTATGAGTAATATTTTAACTTTGGCACACACTCATATTTTGGAACAATCACCAAGGACGCTGACTGTAAATGTATCAAGATCTGTAAATATAAAATATAAATCTTACCTGCGATTTGCCTGCCTGCGAAAAGGTTAATCCACTTGGAACGTTTTCCGTGGTTGTGGACCTACGTTCAACATCGAATGCATCCTGCCCAACATCAGCGATTGCCCAGTTTGTGAAGCAACAACGTTGGCAAATGTTGAAGCTCTTGGAAGGTCTTCGAAAGACAGCAAATATTAACGCTGATTGCCCCGGCGACTTGCTTTGAAGAGGACGAAAGCGACCAAGAAAGTGAGGCAGCCGATGACGATTGACGACGAACCAGAAGACGAACAGAACGAAACCCTCGTGAACAGTTCATTAGCAAAAATATTAAGCCCTTCGCGAAGGTCAGTCAGACAATCGCCATTTTGCCAACCGGATATGTACTTTTAATGTACAGTAATGAGTCATGCGATATTGTACCTGTCAGTCCTGGATCGTTGTGACGCATTTCCGATGCGAAATGAGATCGATGAGATCAGATAGGTAATATTTAAAAACATGTCAGCTGTGGTGTGGGGAAAATAAGTTTAAACTGCCAAATCTACCAATTTTTTATGTGTGTGTAAAGATAGTGCAAGTGAGAGTCTGCTATTTTACGCGCGTCGAAACACTGTTATTCAAACATAAATATTTCGCGTTCTAGATCGAATTTAAAAAATCCCCCCGAGGAAATTAAAGAAGAAAGCATGCTTTATCAGAATTGGTCAGTTTTGGCGTAAAAAGTTTAATATCGAATGTCACCGAGGGCGTAGAACAAGGTGTTATTTTCTCACTCCTTTTGTTTACATTTTCGAATTTCAGGCATGCTGATTGGTCAACAACGCAAAATGTAAACAAACGCGCTGATTGGCTAACATTATTTGCCCTTGTTAAACATGTCACAATTAGGTTAAAATGCGGAAGCGGATGGAGCGGATCCACGGAACGAATATGCGGACAAAATACGGAACGGATGAGGATAAAATGCGTCCTTTTAATGATGTAACGACGTAGTGCTTATTATTCATAGCATATCTTATACACCTATTTCAATCGTAGTTTTAGATAAATTTAGCATAGCAGTAGCCTCGTGGGGATGCTTTTAGCGACAGCTGCAAATGCAAATGCAAATGAAAATTTAGAATATGCAAAATTTGGTTGTTGGTGAAACAATTTAAATTTTGAATTGTCGCGTGTAGCATCACAATAAATAGATAAATAGCATCAGTTTCACAAGGCACGTTTCTGATGTGTTAGGCTGTTTCAAACGTCACGCTACTCGTGTGTAGTGTAAGCCATCAGCTTTTCTAGGTTGTCGGCGACCCTAGTGTCTTTTTCAATTTGAAACTTCACACTATCCTTGGATCCCTAGTTTATTTTCAAATAACTTTTGTTTTATAATCCATCAGCTCTACAATTTACTTAATTCTGAAAGACAGTTTACTCTTCTAAAATCGTATGTTTTTTTTATATTGATTTACGATAACAGTCTCGGCAAAAATGCCTTTAACCAAAGCTAGCAAATACAGTCGCTTCAATGTCGCGGCTTACATGAAGGAACGTCGTTTGGCTACGGAAACGTTGGCAAAACAAAATAAAGAGCTGATTGCCAAGAAACAGAAGTTGGCCCGGCTGGACCAAAAGGTAGGTTTGATAGTTTAGTTGTTATATTATTATTGAAACCTTTAACTGGTTTTCACTTTTAAGTCTGTAGCGATAGGTTTGATCCATATAGTCGTGTTTACACCATACAAGCCTTGGCCAGACCAAGGTAAATGCGAGGCGTTTACATGTACAATGGCCTTTTTGAGATTTTCAGTAAATTTAATTAATTTTTTATGTGTTGTCTGGTTGTTGGCCGCTAAGCTCTCACACATTTCCATGGAAATGAGGCAAATATTAAAGCATATTTCATTAAAGGCCCATATTTGCCAAAAGTGTTTTATATTGCCACAAAGCCAGTCCTAGCCACCGGTCGTAGTGAGACCAGATTTCCCAGCCTAGGTCAGGCAAAAGCTAGCCCAAGGTGTTTTGGGGTTTTTAATGCAAGTGTGTATATTACAATTTAAGACCTGTTAACCAGGAATGACTGCGAGAAATATGCAGCTGGTAGGAATTAAGTCGAATAGGTGATTGGGTGTCCGGGTTGTGATAAGGTACAGGTAGACTGCAATGATGTTTTTTGCACTTCACTTGGTGGAATTAATATTATAATGCTGTTTTCGGGTTTGTAATCCAAGTGAATATAGATCTAACTAGGAACGGCTGCGAGGCTACTAGGCTAGCCCAAGGCTTGTAGTATAAACACGACTTATTTTATACATATATCCTTTACTCCCTTATGAATGATCTTACTGTTAGAATGAATTTAAACTCATTGTAGATAGCCAAGGTAGTTGATGAAATAGAGGATAGAGCAGATATTGCTAGGCAGATCGAGAATGAAGGTACATGTAGCATTTCGAAAGCCGGGTCAACTAATAGAAGGAAGGTTGAAACTGACAGTTGCAGTGAGAGAACAAAGAGAAGGCGTAGTGCAGAAACCCTAGAGGTAGCAAGGAATATTCATGGAGGAGGGGAAAGAAGTTTGAAGGCTAGTACATCTGGTTTGCTCGATACACTTAATAGATGCTCAGAAGATGATCTTGTTGGTGGTATTGGTAAATGCAAGAAGTTGAAGGAGAAGGTGTTTCCAAAATTATATAAGAAGGCAGTTGATGAGTTTGAACATACCAGTGAAAATATGTTGCGGTCTATAGCCGTTGTTCCCGCTTCTGGGGACTGAGAACTGGCGCGAGCCCTGAGAAACTGTGAGGGCCCCCCGGCAAAAGAATTCAGTATTCGCACATTGTTGACTTTTGGACGATTTTAGTATTTTGGACAGTTTTACGTACATTTTATGGTTATTTTGGGGATTTGTTTCGATTGATATTACAATGTTTTGTTGATTTTGAGTTCGTGTGAGTGTGTTTGGTCGCTCCGCGACATTTGGTCCTATTCGAGCCTGGATTAAAGACTAGTATTGAGAGAGTTTCAAGTGTACTTTGCGTGAGTTTTAATGTACTAAAATCGAGTTTATTCAAGTGTAAATCTACATCGAGTTACAGTATATTGTGAAAGTTGTGTGAGTATCGCCCGAGAGACATCAAATACGTCTATTTGTGAGTACATTTTATAACAGTGTTATTATTTGAACAAATTATACGGTTTTAAGTCCTTGGAAAACAATAAACTGTGCAGTTTATGTGCATACAATCTATTGAATATATATACATCGAGCCGTTAATTTAATACAGTGGGTCGAAGATCAAATTCTATTGTTGTTCCTATGTACTAACTGAGTAAAAGTAAGGACGGTCAGAGTATTATTACGCAGTTAGAATCCATAACAAATCAAGATCAATCATTGTGGATGGCAGAGAAACAGCCTAGTACAGATGTAAACAAAGGAGATGAAACTAATATGTCAGTTAGATCTAAGACTAAGTCAAAACAATCGGGTGTATCCAGTATTTCAACTGCCCGAAAAGCGGCAATATTATCAAAGAAATTCGAAGCTGAAAAGGCAGCTCTTCGTTTAAAGTTGTTGGAAGAGGAGAGTGTACAGTGTCAGGAAGAGGAAAATGAGCTACAAATATTGCAACAGAAACAGCGTCTGCAAGAAAAAGAACAAAAGCGTCTACAGGCGGACCTTGAGAAAGCAAAGGTCCAAGCAGAACGTCGCAAAAAATGGCGAGAATTACAACAGCAAGCTAGAGAGTCTCAACTTGAGTATGAACATGCTGTGAACGAGGAAGAATGTATGCGGGAAGAAGAGAATAGATCAATGAGACAAGGACTAGTCGAGTTACTCGGCAGCGAAACACTGGAAGATCGTGTTATGCGGCTAGGCCAGGATGAAACAAGGAATGACAATCAGGATAATTTGTTGAGTGGGCCAGAGCAACCGTTAGATAGGCAGAATACCACACACACCATTCCAGGGACAAATGGGGATAATCAGGTACATAGTGTTAGAGCAAGGGACATACAGGGAACTATAAATGAGACGGTGTATAACCCTGAACAGGCTAATAGATTTAGAGCTGAGAATACTATCCCAAACCTTTCACAGCCTAAAATTCAAAAAGAGACAGCCCCAACTGAAAGCCTTTTAGAGAAAATGCTACCTACCCTTATCAAGATGGAAAGACCTAAACTACCATTATTCGACGGCAATCCGGTTGACTATGCTAGGTTCAAAGCTTGTGTTAAAGTAGAGATTGAACGGAAAGGGGTGTATGACAATGTTGAAAAGCTCAAATTTCTTCTTGATGCTGTGACCGGGTCGGCAAAATCCTGCTTAAAGAGATTTATCCCAGGATCTGAGAGATATAAAGAGGCGTGGCAAGCCCTAGATAATCGATTTGGTCAGCCAGACGTGGTAGTAGCCGCCGCAAAGAAGAAAATTGATGAGTTTCCTGACATTCCAACTGAAAATGCTGAGAAAATCAGAGAGTATCAAGAATTGGTTTCAGAGCTTGTTGGTGTCTACAAAGAACTTGACTTTGCACATGAACTAAAAGCTCAGTTACCTGAATCATATGTTAAGCGTCTCCCAACTCGCCTTTGTGCTCGATGGGGTGAAAAGGTCGAAGGTAAGCCTGAGCTGTCAACTTGGGAAGAATTTGCAATTTGGTTGGAAAAAGAAGCGAAATTATGTGAAGGGAAACAACGGTGGATGCCAGAGAAAAGGGAGAGAAGGAAAAGTTCC